CCCAACTAATAGTCATATTAGAGTATTAATTACTGCATCAGATGTATTACATTCATGGGCTATACCGTCATTAGGTATAAAATTAGATGCTTGTCCAGGTCGTTTAAATCAAACTTCGATGTTTATTAAAAGAGAGGGTGTTTTTTATGGACAATGTAGTGAAATTTGTGGAGTAAATCATGGATTTATGCCTATTGTTATAGAAGCAGTATCATTAGAAGATTATTTAACTTGGTTAAAAAATAAAATTAATTTTGATTTTAATGTATAATAAGTAAAAACATATATGATATTTAAAATCATTGGTATAATTTTTATAGTAATATTATTATTTACAGATATTAAACAAATAATTAACAAAATTAAGCAATTTTTCCATAAATAATGGAAATTAAAAAAGCCAACGCTTTTTTTAATAAAAATATAAATAATTTTGCATTTAAAATAAATTAAAAAAAAAAAATATTCAAAAATGAATTTTCAAAATATAAATAAATGGTCAACAAGATGGCTTTTTTCAACAAATCATAAAGATATTGGAACTTTATATTTAATTTTTAGTGCTTTTGCTGGTGTCCGACGCCGGCTGCATCGGTGACAACGACTGCAATGCCGACCACGCCGAACCCGACGCCGGCATCTAGCGTGACAACGACTCCGAAACCTACCGCGCCCAACCCGACACCGGCATCTAGCGTGACAACGACTCCGAACCGCACTCGCCCAACCCGACACCGGTGGCTAGTGTCACTACAACGCCGAATCCAACCGCGCTCATCCCGACTCCAGCTACATCGGCGACAACGACCCCAATGCCGACCACGCCGAACCCGACGCCGGCATCGAGCGTGACAATGACTCCGAAGACACCATCGCCCAACCCGACGCCGGAGGCTAGTGTGTCTACAACGCTGAGACCTATCACGCCCAACCCGACGCCGGCTGCATCGGTGACAACGACGTCGATGCCGACCACGCCGAACCCGACGCCGGCGTCTAGTGTGACTACGACTCCGAAACCTACCGCGCCCAACCCGACGCCGGCGTCTAGTGTGACAACGACTCCGAAACCGCCCTCGCCCAACCCGACGCCGGTGGCTAGTGTCACTACAACGCCGAATCCTACCGCGCTCATCCCGACTCCAGCTACTTCGGCGACAACGACCCCGATGCTGACCACGCCGAACCCGACGCCGGCGTCGAGCGTGACAATGACTCCGAAGACAACATCGCCCAACCCGACGCCGGCGGCTAGTGTGTCTACTACGCTGATACCTACCACGCCCAACCCGACGGCGGCGTCGAGTGTGACTATGACTCCGAAGACAACATCGCCCAACCCCGACGCCGGAGGCTAGGGTATCTACAACGCAGAGACCTATCACGCCCAACCCGACGCCGGCTGCTTCGGTGACAACGACTTCAATGCCGACCACGCCGAACCCGACACCGGCATCTAGCGTGACAACGACTCCGAAACCTACCGCGCCCAACCCGACACCGGCATCTAGCGTGACAACGACTCCGAAACCGCACTCGCCCAACCCGACACCGGGGGCTAGTGTCACTACAACGCCGAATCCAACCGCGCTCATCCCGACTCCAGCTACATCGGCGACAACGACTCCAATGCCGACCACGCCCCACACGACGGCGGTGAGTGGGATTACAACGCCGGAGAACTACCACGCCCAACCCAGACGACAGCTGCATCGGGGACGACAACTACGATGAAGACCAACGCGCGAACCTAGACGCCGGCATCTAGGTGTGACGACAACTACCGAAAAAATACCGCGTCCAACCAAGACACGGGCTTTATAGATGTAATAACAAACCCACGAAAAACACTCTTCGCCGAACCACGACACCGGGGGGTATAGGT